TGTGCGGGGTGCTGCACAGACCCACAGAGAGATAGCCCTTGCCCCATAGATCTCCCACTTTAGAGCCCAGGAGAACCCTCCCCCCTTTACAGCTGTGGGGCAGCTGAGCCTAAAACCAGATCCCTCGGGTGCTGCACAGACCCACAGAGAGATAGCCCTTGCCCCATAGATCTCCCACTTTCCAGCCCAGGAGAACCCCCCCCCCTTTACAGCTGTGGGGCAGCTGAGCCTAAAACCAGATCCCTCCATCCTGCTCTAGTGTCTCCTCCCTGGGGCCAGACTGGCCTGCCCTAGAGGGAAGAGGCCTCAGGCCCCATTGCTTGCCCCTAAGCCAGCCAATCCTTCCCTGGGACAGGTGGGAACCGGCACCCCCTGGAGGGGCAGGTTGGACTCCAGCCATGACCCACATGTTGGCTGGAGCCCCCCACCCACCCAGCGGTTCCTGGTGGGGTCCAGGAGTCCTCTCCATCCTCTGCCAATTCCTTCCTTTGCTCTTTCTCCCGTCCCCCCTGCCTCTCCTTTTTCCAGCCCCACGTGCCTCCCCACAGCGGGCCCCCTGGAACTCATGCCCTTGGCAGCTGGGAAGGATCGGGGGGCAATCAGAAGACCCCAGACCCTGTCCCATTTAAGGGGGGGGCTGTAGGGCCTTGGGAGAACAGCCCCTGGCTTAGGGTTCTGCACCCCTGCTCGGAGAATCCAGGGGTGTCTGGCTCTTCTTTCAGGGGTGACCTTCTCCAATGTGGCATTGTGAATCCGAGCACCCCAAAGGGTCTCCCAGCTCTACTGGGCTCTCGAGGTCCCCCATGCCCTAAATCGGAGGGCGATCTCAGTGCATAAGAACATAAGATCGGCCATACCGGGTCAAACCAATGGTCCAGCCAGCCCAGTATCTTGTCTGCCGATAGTGGCCGATACCAGATGCCCCAGAGGGAGGGAACACAACAGGGAGTCCTCATGTGATCCCTCCCCTGCCACCCATTTCCAGACAAATAGAGGCTAGGGACGCCATTCCTACCCATCCTGGCTAATAGACATGGATGGACCTAATCTCCATGAATCTATCTAGCTCTTTTTTGAACTCTGTTAAAGTCCTAATCTTCACCACATCCTCTGGCAAGGAGTTCCACAGGTTGTGCGCTGAGTGAAGAAAAACCTCGTTTTGTTTGTGTTCACTATGGAGAGTGACCTGCCAGGTGAATGAAGAGGAAGGCTCAGAAGGGCTCATTTCTAGTGCTTGTAACTTGTCCTTTTCTAAAATCAGGAGTAGCTTTTGCTTTCTGGAAGCATGGAACGTGAAGCCACTCTGCATCTTCTGTTGCTGAGTCAGAGATGTGCACAGAGGTGAAAGGAGGTGGGGGAAGGGCAGCTCCAGCAAGAGCTGTCCCTGTAAGACATTTTAAGTTCTTTTCACCTCTGGACGTGTGTGAGTCTGAATCCCTGACTGGCGGGCAGAGGGCACATCCCTTCCCAAGGAACAAACCCAAGAGTCCTGGCTCCCAGCCCCCGGAGCTCTAACCACTAGACACCGCTCTCCTCCCACAGCCAGGACTCCGGGATCCCGTCCTTGAGTTGCAGTGTTCAGAGTGCAACATGTGATTCAGGGCTGGCCGCCTGGGGGTAGCTGGGAATGGGCCCGGGGGATGGGAGGGGGAGCGTGAAGGAGAAATGGGAGGCGGGTTTGCTTGGAAAATGTGCAGTGTGAGCAAGAGAATGAATGAGGCGATGAGGAGAGACGGGGAAGTCACAAAGGGCCTGTCTACACGGCAGGGCTAAAGCCGAACTAAGCGAGGCAACGTCAGCTTCGTAAATCGCGTCGCGTCATTCAAAAGAGCTGAACTTGGCTTTTGGCATGGTCTACACAGCAAATGGGAGGCGGGTTTGCTTGGAAAATGTGCAGTGTGAGCAAGAGAATGAATGAGGCGATGAGGAGAGACGGGGAAGTCACAAAGGGCCTGTCTACACGGCAGGGCTAAAGCCGAACTAAGCGAGGCAACGTCAGCTTCGTAAATCGCGTCGCGTCATTCAAAAGAGCTGAACTTGGCTTTTGGCATGGTCTACACAGCAGGA